AGAGTCAACAGGCCCTGCGTGAGGGTGGCACAGGGCTCACCTTTCCCCTCCATGACACAAGAGCTGAGGCTCTGCAAGCGGGCCTTGAACTCTTTGAAGCCGTCGGTGCACACCGGCGCTTGCAGGCTCTGTGGCTCTTCCTGCCTTAGGCTGCAGAGTGCCTGGCGCAGGAAGCTGTGCATGTCCAGCACCTCCTGGTCCGAGGCATAGCGCTTCATCCTCTCCACCAGCGTGCTGCCGGTGCGGATTCGTTGCAGCACGGTGTCCAGACGGCCCATCCGGCTGTCCAGCTCTCTGCGGTCACGATGGTAGCGCGCTTCCACCGCCTGGAGCAGCTCGCGTTCCTGCGCCTGCACGTGAGCCAACAGCTGGCGCACGCCCTGGCGGATCAGCTCCTCAGTGTCCCTCCGCGCCTGGTCCAGCTGGTCTATGGCCGCGTGCACCTGCGCATGCGCAGCACCAAAGGCGCCATCCTGCTCCCGCAGCGCGTGCGTCATGCCATCCAGTTCAGACTGCCGCTGCTGGATCTCCGTGCTGATGTCACTCATAAGGTCACCGTGGCCGCTGTCCAGAAGCGCGCAGGAGCAGCACAGCGGCTTGGAGCAGCCTCGGCAGTAGATGCTGCGGACACACAATGCAGCCGGGTTTAGGGCTCTTTCTCCCTCTTAACGTTTTGTTATTAAATTCCTCTTTTCCCAAATCACTAAACTTAGGACGGCAGTGCTCTAGTTTGCACTTTTAGTAACTCTGTATTTGTGGCCAGGGGATCGTAGCTTAACTACATAAAGCCTGAGAGTATGAAAGGTTACTGTGTAACAATGTCCCCATACTGGAACCGATACAAAGACACACACAGTAACCTCTCTTCCCACCCTTCTCAGTATCCCGCCCACAATATCCCCGCATGTGAGTTACACTTTTTTCCACATCGGTCTCCACTTAGACCACCTTACACAAATACCCAGACCATGCTGCTGCCTGCAGGCTGCGGAGGCCTTGACACACAGCACCCCGCGTCACATGTGGAACCTCTGGGTGAGATAAAGAACATCACCCTCGTGTCACAAAGAAGCCGAGATGCACAGCCTTATTTTTCTTTTTTTAATTTTAAGAGAGATTTTAGCTATAGGATGTGTGTGCTCGCCAAAGAGACAGACAGAAAGTGTGTAATCACACCCCGGGGGGATGCCTACGACGCAGTCCCCTCTCCTCCATTCTCCTCTCAGGATTCTGAGCACGCACACACACGCGCCTGGTGTGAGTTTTAAGCCACCAGGTCTGGGACTTGATCTGCTGTTGAGTATGTGGGAGTCTAGCACCATAACCACTACACTATTTGCTAGTCCCTGCATTTCTATTTTAATATCTTAATTTACTCGATATATTTCAGTTAGCAGATACTAGCATAGCATTTCTTACATGTCAGACACTATTATAACCATTTGAGAAATAGTAACTCATTTAATTCTCCTAATAACCCTATGGAATAGGTACTAATACTGTCCCATTTTAAGGAGGGGGACACTGACACACAGGCAGATTAATTTGTCCAAGGTCACACAATTACTACGTGGTCCAATCCAGGCACGAAGCCCTGAAGCAGGCAGAATGGGGGTCCTGGGAGATGTCCTGTCCTGATTCCGACATCTGTGAATGTGCCTCTTTCGACGGCAAAGGGGTCATTACAGGTGAGATTCAACTAATGCTCTGGAGCCACACAGTATCCTGCATTCCCCGGGCCGGCCGAATGTGACCGTAAGGATCCTTATAAAGGCAAGAAGTGCTGAGGCAGAGTGAGATCTGTGAAGGAAGCTGGGGTGGCGAGATGCTGCGGTCATGGCTTCGACATGGAAGGGGGTCATGGGCAAGGAACCCTGCCGACCTCAGGACTCTGGGGAATGCAGGGAACTGGGCGCTCTGTCAGAGCCTCCTGAAGGAGCAAGCCCAGCCAACACCAGGATTTGACCTCAGCAAGACCCACTTCAGACTTCTGACCTGCAGCTGCAGGACAGGAGCTGTGTGTGATGTTAAGCCCCAAGTCTGCTACTTCTGTTCCACCAGCAACAGGCGACAAGTGCAGAAACAAGTGGTCCGGCCACGCGCCCGTGCTCCCAGCACCGCTGTGCTACTGCTTCCAGTCTGCATTACCAGGAAACAAAACCTGTCACCTCCCAGAAGTACTGCTGTCACGGAGGCTCCCCACCAGTGGTAGCAATATGCTCGCCCATCTGAGGCCAAGAGAAAGGGGCTCAGCTGGCCACTTGGGCCTCAGTCACTGAGGTCAACCTGTCCCAGAACTGCCATCAGAGCCTGCTGGCCTGTTCGGCTGAACTACAGTGCTCGCTGGGGATGCTACTAATTAGAAATGCTAAGCAATTATGACAGGAAGGAAGAACTCTGCAGGGGACAATTTGGCACGATCCATCAACATCACAAGTGCATTGACCCTCTGCAGCTTTCTTTCGAAGCATTGGTCTATAGCTCTTTCTCCAAATGCAGTGTCAGTCGCTGCAGCATTCACAGGAGCAGAGAGCCAGAAACCACCTGTGTCTACCACAGGCAGGGCCGTCAATGACTGCCACCAATTACCCATCCTGAGCAGTCCTGTGCAGCTGCGCAGAACTGAGGAAGCTCATGGTGCACAGATACAGAATACTGATGCACGTGGGCACCTCTACAGGGGTAGCAATAAAGGCAGGAGAACAAGCAGCGGTGGCCGGTGTCCCTCAGGTATCAGAGAAGGGGCTGCACATGACACCATGTCCACTTCCTTGGAGGTGAGGCTTGAGCCTGGGAGGGCAGGCCTCGCCGGCCTGGGTGGATGGAGAGTGAGACCTTCTGGATGGCCAGGGCATCTATGGGTCCTATTTCTAAGCCCCCATCTCGAATGGGGCCTTTCCAAGGACCAACCCCGCTATTCCTATCAGATCATGAGTGACAGGGCTGGCTGTACTTATTAGACACCCTGAATTGGGTCACTCACCCAGGAGCCACCACTCACAGTGACTGTTGCATGCATGACCATGTTATTAATATTTTAATAGAGGCCTCAGCACATTCACTGGGTTCTGAATCTCCCCATCTAGAGCTGCTCGTGCCGATACCGCCAAGCCACAGGCCACGGGACAGCAGAGAGGGTCTGGGTCCCTGAATCCGAGCTGCTGCAAGCCCCACGTGTGAGGCTTTGAGCACATACATTTCTTTGAGTCTTACTTTCCCAGTCTGTAAAATGGGCATGATAACACTATCCTCATAGATGGTTGTGGGAACAAAGACAGGTGGGCATGAAGTGCCCAGCACAGTGACAGCCACACACCAGGTCCTGTGGAGCCTTGAAAGAAGAGAGGTGTTCACTACACTCACGTCTGTGGGATGGCCCTGTGGCCGGTGACCCTTCTAACCTCAGTGACCGCACTGAGTGACCTCTGGGCTGCCGTCTGCCCAGCATGGTCAGGCCACACCTCCCACTGGGGCCAGAGGAGCCTGCCACCTCCACCATGCTAGGAAACAAGCTAGACGAGAAATACAGGAAGCAAAAATGCCATGCCACAGAACCAGCAGCCCAGAGCCGACACCAGAGGGGGACTCCAGGGCAGGGGCCGTGTCCATCTGAATGGCAGCCCGCAACCTCCCCACACCTGCCACACCTCCAGCAGCGGCCTGGAGCTCTCACTCTGGTGGAGTGGCACAGAAGCCGCTCTTCTGAAAACTGGGGTAAGCGTAGGACATAGAGAATGGTCCCTCGGTCACTTACACGGTGCTAGGGATGCACTGAGTCGGTGCAATGAGACATTGACGGCCTCCTGCTGTCTCCACGGTGACTGTGGAGGAAGCAGACTTGCAGCCAGGAGAGGAGCTGGCAAGTCTGGAGCCCGGGCTTTCCAGAGACCAATGCGGCATTCCCGGTGACCACCCCTCAGCTGCTCATTGGCTGAGAAGGTGGGGCTGGGAAGGCCTGTGGTCTCTGAGAGGAGGCAGAAGCGAGGGTCAGAGAAGCACAAGGAAGCAGGTGAGCAGAGGACGCACTGGCCCGTGCCGGCCCACGCCCAAGAATGAGGAAGAGAAAACGTGGTTTCCTCCTGTGCTTTTGCTTTTTCACAATCTTTGCTTTCAAGACCTGGCTGAGCGCCCTTGGGGACCGAGTTCTGCTGGAACATGTGACCCAGGCAGGAGGTAGCGGGTGCCCTGCTTTTCCTGCCAACCGTGTGCGTGTGCGAGCACATGTTTTTTCTTTTTTAAGACAAAGCATCGCTGTGTCGAGATCCTCCTGCTCGGCTTCCTGAGCAGCTGGGCACGTGCGTTCACCAGAGAGAGACAGAAGGAGAGGGAAAGTAGGAACACAAGTCGCCAGGTCCAGGACTTGAACCATGGTCAGCCACATGGGAGTCCAGTGCCGTGACCACCATGCTACCTGCTGGTCCCAGGACAGGACATTTCTTTTTTCTTTTTACTATAAATTGTTGTTATTTTATTATTACTACTTTGTACCTGTGGTCACTCTACATCATTTGGCTTGCAAAGAGAATTTACCCAACACGATATACACCTCAGACCGGTCCAGTCGAGAATGCTACACACCAGGTCATCAGCAGGTAATCATCCATGCCTGGGTCCCACAGACGCCTGCCTCTCTATTTACCCCCAATGTCCCTCCCTATTCTTGTTCCCTCTCCCTCTTCCCACACAGAACAGGGCATTTCTAAGCATCACCTACATTTTATCTTAAGAAGAGATTCGGGACCAGCAGTTGGCATAATGGCTATGTCGCTGGACTCCCATGTAGTCGACCACGGTTTGAGTCCCGGACCCAGTGGCTTAAACTCACACTGGGCGCATGTGCGTGCATGCCTAAGATCCCGAGAGGAGAATGGAGGAGAAGGGATTGCGGCATGGCAAACCCCCCTGGGGGTGATTTCTCATTTCCCCCTCACTGCATTTCTCCAGCAAGCTCAAGCACCCTATGGCAAAAACATTTAAAAAAAAAAAAAAGAGATTCCATTTTTGGAACACAGTTAGATCACCGGGGGAAACTCACTGACTGTTATACTGCTATGTCAGAATTATATGATATTTGCACACTGGTAAACACTGATTTGGATTCACATGCCGGTGAAGGTCCCATCAAACAAGTCGATTGCCTGGGGAAGGAGAGTGGTTATCAAGACATGCAGGTTCACCCTGTGACCCATCCAGCTCTCAGTCAGGTCAGGTGGGGGCCAGCTGCGACCTGCTCACTTACAGACGCCATCAATCTGTTTTCTTCTTAAGCTACTTACTCAAACTCTGTCACTAACTTCCACATTTGTTTTAGCTGAAACTCAGAGACGGACAAACAGCTTCCAGGGACAGCTGGCGTGCTGACTCTGCGCTGTCAGGGCTCCCTACTGAACGTGACTTTTCCCTCCTCAAAGCTCTCACAGCTTTACGGGATGATGCTTCCCGGGACCTCTGGGTCCTTGCCATGGAGTAGAGGCTGTGCACACACGTGACCCGTCTGTCCCAGACTGAACCTCTCCCTGGATCCAGACTTCAAATATTCAGACTTCCCGTTCACCTTCATCAGCAGTCCCAAGGGCGAGCAGGAACAAAAGGCTCAGTGAGCCATGGAGCGGAGCCGGATG